AGCGTTGGATTGCACGCGGAGGTGCGAATCCAAGAGCTTTTGCCTATGGATCTCGACACTTTACACCAGCACAAGAGCTCGACAGCACCTTTATAGCACGAACGTGCCTCGGGCCAAAAGTCACGTTCACTCCCGACTGACTGCTGCACCTATGCTCCGCCTGGAGTTGCTTGGGGCTTCGGCCTCCTTGGATCACAAGCTTTTTTTCGCCTGTGGACACTTCTTGACGACACCGCCGCGCGACCTGTCAAGTCTATCTCGGTCGGATGGGTGGGCCATCACTGTAGCCTCCGAGCAGGGTTCTTGACACTGGGCACCACGAAAGGTTAAGGAATCAAGGAAAAGGTCCCTCCAAACGTATTTTTTGAATTTGCACCCCCCCCCTCTTCGTGCCCAACCCTGCATTCCATCCTTGCGGCTGCGTCCAAAATGCTAGATCAAGGTGCCACCGTGGCACAGGCACGGAACAGTGGTCTTGAATTCTATCTGCAAGGGATGCGCACCCCTAGCCACAAACAGACCAGGAGCTTTTCTCCATTCTACCGCCTCCCAGACGTAGCCACAGGTTGCGCTATGGCGGAGATGCACCGTTGAATCTGTTACCCCTTTTTGAGAACCAGAGACCTTGACCGCCATGGCCCAGCCACAAGCTAGCAAGCTGTTCAGGAGTAGCGGCATTGAAAGGACTGGAGCACTGCTTAGGTGCTCCAGCTTGGCCCCATACCCCACGGAGGTTTTCACGGAAGCTTTGTGCTGCCACCTCCGTGAGAGCACACGGCCACTGGACAACAGAAGGCAAGTCGTCCCTGTCAGCGGCTCCCGAGCGGACTACCCCACAAATCGAAATTCACGCAAAAAAAACCACAAGCTGCTCTGCATGCTCTACTTCGGCCCTGTGCATACTAAAGAAAGAAGGCTGACTTGCACGGGGAACAAGCGGCTTCCGGTGTGCATCCAGGTGGTCAGATAAAACCAACCAAGACAAACCGATGCGCAGGTAATAAACCTTTGCCTTGACAGGTGCGTGCCGAAAGGAAGCTCTAATCGCTGAGTGGCCATGAGGCTGCTAACGAGCTACTCAGGTGGTCACTGGTCGGACACCTGCGGTGCAGCTCATCGCCAGCTCAGCGGCAGCATTGGAGCTCTTCCCAAGGGCCAAGGGCCGAATCCCTAGATCTGAAGTGTCAGCGTGAAGGTAATGCCTCATTCTTTTACAACTGAGTTTTGGGAGAGCGAGGTCACATGCAAGCCGAGACTGGGCCAAGGCTACGCTTGCTCTGATGGTTGGACGGTAAGTTCACAAACTGCAATAGTCCCGATGGCCACGCATCTCGATCACATGCATGAAAAGTAGATGCGTCAGCTGGGCAGCTGAAGCCACATCCTACCCAGATCCTTCAGAGATTCGAGGCACCTCTGTTGAACCTCCCCCTGTCTCTCCGATCATCTGACAGGTTGGGCATTTTTCGAAAATGCATGCTAGGTGCAGGCAGTTGTGGTGCCCGGCGCTTGCAGGGCGAAGACGGGGTGCAATGGCATATGAAGGATACAGCACAATTGCGATTTGCTGGCTGAGATCAGCTGCAATCCCCAGGGCTTCACCCATGCGGCAGGAAGCAAAGCAAAAGCTCCATCATCTCCATCTGGACAGATACCTGAGCTGCCGGAGGCTGCAAGCACTTGAGCTGTTGCACATCGCCTGCGCTTTCTTGTATAGCTTCGGCGATGCTAGCACATGGGGGTCTGAGCGACGGCCATGGCCTTGCAGCCAGGGCTCGACTGGGGAGACCTGCGGCGTCCCTCTTTCTGAGAGAACACGCAGCTTGCCACGTCCAAAGATACTGTACAGAAATGGCCTGGGCAGATATGACGAGCTGCGTGCAAAGAACCAGACAAGACTTTCCCGCCGCGGCACGTGCCCCTGAGTCGGCTCTGCTGTATGAGGCGCGTCAGACCCGCGCCCTGTACAGGGGCCACTGTAAAAAGGCAGCACACAATCAGATGTTACCACGAGTCAACGCGCGGTCCTCTGGGTCGAGATGGAAGGCGACCCATGGTGATTCTTTGCCTGACACATTGATCGAACCCCCGTTCAACCAGAGATCCCCAACTATCACGGGCAAAGCTGGGGGTCGGCGGCAAGCAGTCGACACACAGCCATGATCCGAGCCGCTCACAACTTGCTCAAACTTCTCTATGCGCGTTCAATCTCCACCTGAGCTTGGCTGCGTGTGCAACATCACAAGACCGGCCCCCTTTGGAGCCAGGTTTGACGCTGCTTCTACCAAGCGGCGCCGATGCTAAGTGCACCTCCACACAGCTCTCGTCGCCAATCCAAGGGCAGCTCGAAGACCTGTCCATTTCGCACAGCTCCCGACGAGCAGAAACTCGGTTTTTGGGTTTGTCTGCGAGTGGCTGGGATAGAGTCGTCAGCTGAAACTGTAAGGTAAGGAGGATGGACTCAGACTAGCTGTGCTTATGACAGCCTCCGCTGAGCCTCTACAGACCTCTACAAAGTCCCTGGGGCTCTGCATACACATGACATACTCGGGCTGCAGGCTTACCCACAGGGAGTGGCTCCATCCGCAGCCTCCGTGGTACACTGTCCAGCAGGGCTGGCAACCGGGCCGAAGCGATGGGATCCAAAGAGAAAGAAGACCTTGCTGTCTTCAGCCTGCAACAGGCCGGCCCTCAAAAGTTCTCAGATGGAGAAGACCGAAACTTCTTTTGCACGCCACCGGCTGCCGGTCCAAACCTATGAAGAGGCTCGCAAGCTGGCTCTGCTCAGCGCGCTACCGCATAAGACCCTCAACCAACGCACAAGCAACCGGATGAGAGCCAGCCTTGGCACCTGAAATCTTCAGCTGTAAGGAGCCGAACTTTGGCAGATCATCACAGGCCTCTTTCAAGTGAGGTCGAAGTTGAGGAAGCGATTGGAACGGCTCGGCCGAGTTTGAGGATAGAGTTTTGTGGTACGCTCGTAGAGATGAAGCTGCGAAGCCACAAGCTGTCACTAGCTGCTAGCTGCTAGCCCACTGCACACCACGACAACTCCAAGGACGGCACGTACAGTCCTGTCCAGCTAGCAAGGCAGAACGGTTTGGTGTTGTCTGCGTGGCGTGGGCCGTTGCCACGACCAAGCCCAGCCGACCACCGATTCCTGCACCCCAATCCCTTATCCTGTCTCGGTCGCAGCCTGGCTCTTCTTGTGCTTCTTTGTCGTTCGGCAATATTCCGTCATCCACTGCTTTCCAGGTGCAAAGATCCTCGCCGAGGGGGTCAATTTCACTTCGAAACGACGACGGTACAAGATCCGGTGCAGACAAGCATCACCCTGACATCGTCCAAGTCTCCCACCTGGCCATGTGACCGTCGAGGTGGAAAAGTCTATCTAGAAAGCTTGCTACCCGCCGGATTCTCAGGCTAACCCGCATGGCCATGAGCATACCGTCGCAAGCCTGGAATGGCTGGGAGACCAGCGGACAGCCGCAGGCAGACTTGAACTTCGCCTAGGCGAAGGAGCGATGTGGATGTCGGCTTAGAGCACGCATATGCGGACATGCTCAAGACATCTCCAAGCTTCTGCCAAGACACGTTTGGATTCAACACGTGCCACTGCGGCTCCTGAAGCTTCAAGCTGCAAGATCTGTGAGAAGACGAATCACAACTGTCGACTCGATCCTGAGGAGCCTCTGGTGGCAGCTCGATGGACACTGTCCGAGACAGTGGCTGTGGAGGAGGCACGAGGCTTGCCAGCGGAAGCCTCAAGCAACTTCAGGGAGACATGTCGCTTCAGACACACTAGGACAAGTATTCGCTACGCTTCGTTAGCACCACCGAAGCTCAGAGAACACCCAACTTCGCCACGACTTCAAGGACTTCTTCAAGCACCGTCCACAAGCCGAGCATGTTCTAATCTTAACCGTCTCAACTCAGCCCACTCTTCTCAATTCTGGATCCAGCGGCGGCAGAGGCAGACCCGGAGGGGGAGGAATGGCTGGCCCGACCAGCCTGAGAACAAAGACGGGAGACCTGACAGAACCGCCTACGCTGCCGCCACAGCTTTGTACCTCACACATGTCTGCGACATGCTAGTAACGCGTGCGCACGGGGAGAGCCGCAGCCTGCAATGCTCCCTGTTGAAGCCGAACAAGGAACCTGGTGAGCCCCATTGGCGAGGAGGACCGGATGGAGGAGAGGCTCTGCGATGAGGCAGGAGAAGGTGTCCTTCGATTTTGCGGCCCCTTTACAAGGCTACCAAAAAATACTGCAACTGCGGTAGGAACGCAAACTCCGACGCTCACGCGGAGCTCGAAGCCCAAATAATCGCTGAGGGTCTCAGTGTCTGAGGAACACGCAGAGTCCCGCATGGCGCAGCTCTGGACTTTCCTGAAATCTGTAGGCGATCTGGGTCTGGCTTGGAAACACATGGAGCGAAATGCGCAGGATTCAGAGACACCACCATTCTTTCCCGACGAGAGGACCTGTTGGGGTGGGCGGTGATTTTGGCTGCTGCCCCGAGAGTCAGGTGCGTGAGCTCCCGGAGGATGCATTGTGCGAGCACCGTGTCGTCCAAGGTAGCGGCCATTGCTGTACAGCGCTGGGGTGTTCAGTTCAGAAATGTTTGAGCCAGAGTATCGCTGCGGTTCAACGTGAGCTCCTTCAAGGCAGTAAACACTCCCTACGAAGAAGCGCAAAAAGCAGAAGTTCCAGTTCCGTCGAAAATCCTGTTAAAACCCATCACAACAGTTTTCCTGCGGGTGCGTGTGCACATGTCGTCTCGTCTCTCACATTTCACTGCTGCCCTCGTGTCCATCCAGAACAAGGTCTGGGATCCAAACAACTCACAACACCCTGCCACACAGATTTTAACTTCAAGGGCTACTCTTCCACTCCCTCAATCTGGCCCAGACTCCGTTCTGCGGTTGCGGGGACTGGAAGAGTCACATTGATGCTCGCAGCAGCTCTAAAAGAAGTCTTCGAGTAATTAGTCTTCGACCTCACCAAGGATGAACATGTATCTTGCTTCGAGCTGCTGTAGATTTTCCCACGAGGCACCACGAGGCACTACCACTGCTACGGTTGGCCCGTTCCCGCTGCTGCTTCATCCTTGGACCTTGTTCACCTGGTCGGGCATGACAGCAGTCGAGGTTTCGTTGGCAGGTTACAGCATTCATCGAGTTGGTGGTCAGAGGTAGCCACAACCTATCACAACCTCTTGCTTCTTACTCACCTGGCAGCCGACACAGAGAAGCCGCTCAAGCGACAAAGCTTGCAAAGACACCTCCATTCGCCTGAGCCCAGACTACGACCAGGCATCCTACACTGTTTCAATTCGGTCGGAACCGACCAGCCTTGGCATTTTCTGGTGGCCCTCCGGTCACAATCACCTCTCCGTTGTCCCCGAACTTGATGGAGGCCTCGGGATCGCGGCCCAACAGCACATGGGCTTGTCCATGCAGTCCAACATCCACGTGGAATGAATATTGTGCCCTGTGCACTCCTGCAAACCCCTTGTGCGGTGAAGGGCTGAGTGGGCCTGGTGCCCACGGGCGGGGAGGCCATTGCGAACCCCCCCCCCCCCCCCCCGACGACATGCTAATCCCCAACCTGTCCTGCTTGAACAAGCAGCAAGCAGCCAATGAAAGCACATGAAACACTATACACCCACTTCTTATTTATGGAAGCTTGTTTTGCGCCTTTGGCTGTGTGGGACAGGCTTTGAGAAGCTTGTGTAGAACAGCTCCCCACAACGGCACATTCCGAAGGCCATTGTGACCGAGCGACCGGGATGTAGTGGATGTTTGGCTGCCAGTACAGACCACCTGTAGTCGGCTGATATGGCAACTGCGCCAGGTCAGACTATTGACACAAGCGACCACCTTGCGCTGAGGATGTGGCCCTCGCACTGAGGTAAGTTCATGGTGTACCGGACCTTCGCCCTCTGCTCCTCTTTCTCCTTTGGAGGCACGCGGGAACGCCAGCTGCCGGCTCAGAGTCTCCCACTTTGACGCACCACTCCGTGTCCCGGCTACTCTTGCAGCCAAGGTTCCCAATGAAGGCGACTCCGCTCCTGCCTTATCTCAGGGTGTGGTGCAGCCGAAGCCTACATCGAGTGCTGGCAGCGACCCATATCCCGAGATATCACGAGCTCTGCGTCCGGTGACAGACCACAGAAAATAACATCTCGTGAGTACACCGTGTCCTCAAACGGGAAACAAGCCTCCAATCGTGAACAAGACTTCGAGGCAGCATGATGACAGGAATGTGCCGGGGCAAGACACGAGTGCTACTGCCGCAATAGAGCACTGTTCGCCTCTGAGCACGCCCCGGTTGGATCGGCAAGACTCGTTGAGTCTTGGTAATACTCGCATTAAGCAAGCGAGGACAGTTGGGGAACGGAACAAGAACCGACCAACTTCTTTCATTCAAAGATGGGCAAGATCTCCGGCCATGCGGGTGATGTGCGCTCTCTCGATGTCAGTCGTGCAACAGGAGTCTAGGTGAGAAGCCTCATCTCTGTGGATCAGCTTCTAGGCCGGCGGCCCACCATGGCACGGATGCAGACAAGGAACTCCGACGCATGCTTCTTCTTGAGAGCTTCCTGGCATCGGAGCACCGAACTGAACTCTTCACTTCAACGGCTGAAATGCCACAGACATGCTGTTTCCGCTCACGGCCTTAGTAAGCATGCTTACCCCTTACTACACACGCACGCGCGCGCGCGCACGCGCGCGCGCCCGCGC